CATAACCTGTAAAATTTATGTGAAAGTTTATGTGAATAATTTGTTCATAATTAAATAATCTATCTTAAAGTCTATTATCATAATGTTGTACAACAACTCAGTATACTTTAAAATAGTAATTGAATTAATACATAATCTACAACATTGTCTTGAACTGATCTTGGATGTGTATTTATTTATTATATCCCTTGTAACTTCTAAACCATTCGATTAATATGAATGATGTATACAGCAAATTTATGCAAAATAAAATAATATAGATTTATTATGAACAACAAAATGCCATCAAATGCCCTTAAACCCTTATATAAATATATCTTCTATACAATATTGCAGGAAAGTCGTAAAAATGTCACATTATTTTTAGTAGTCTACTTAATTAATTTTAATCAAGAAATGTAATAAAAGTTAAGCGCTATAAACCCTCATTTTTACCTCGTAAAATATTAATATATATATATATATATATATATATATACTCGTATATATATATACATACATAAAATCTCTTATACATTCTTTTAATAAATATTTTGTAGTTGATTTTCTTAATAGTATATTTATATCTAATTTATTAATGAACAAATTGTTTTAAGAAGTTTTGTTATTATATATATATATATATATATATATATATATATATATATATAATTCTAATTATGAATTTAATTATAAACTCTTTTGTTCTGAAAGGTTTTTTCACCAAACAAGCCACAGATAAAAATTAACAAACCTAATTAACGAAAACACGAAGCAACTGACTTTTCTCACAGATAATTTTTTTCACCGAAGATTTTTTTACGACTTGTCGAAAAAATAAAAACAGAATAATAAAACAGACACTTTCCCTTACGAAATTGAGAAAACTTTCTTTGTATATATATATATATATATATATATATATATATATATATATAAGGGATGAAAGCAAATAATTAAAAGGATATTATTATTTCATCCCTTCGTTAAGATGTGATTTGATATAATGACTTCTTGATTGTTTCGTCAAGATTTTTGATAATGACTTTAATTTATATTTCTTTATATATAATATATACACACACATATATATATATATATATATATCTTATATATAAAATTCTTCTGTAATGGGGTATGAAAGGGTTAATCCTTCTAAACGATTATTCGTATATATATTCATAAATCTTCCTGAAGTTTGTTAAGGGAATTTTCTAGGATCTTTTGATTCATAGAAATATAGTTAGTTTGTAGAAATGAATGGAAAAAATTACAAAAAACCGCTTATCATTGTTTGACTTTGAAAATATTTGAGGCATAGTTAGACATTAAAAACAAATGAAGACTGCCATTTGCCAAACATTTCAATTCACCTATGGGCTATGACATTTTTAAAATATAATATATTTATGATTATGTAAAAGAAAAATATAATGTCTACATTATTATTGCCGTAAAGCAGCTGAGATGTGCCGAAAATAATATTAAGATACATTAAATATTGATAAAGTTATGATTGTTTAAGGGGGGCGATACATGTAACAAGAAAAAAAAAATCGATTTTTTTTTTTTTCATAAATCGTTACAATAACATCTCAAAAATATGCCTGTAAATATTCAAAACAAAATTATCATTATTTATACAATAAAAACTCATTTAAGTGCCACGCCTCAACTCTTATCTGTTCTATGTGTCAAAACTTTAAACGCGTTTTTTTCAAAACGACATTTTTGAAAGTTGCGGGCGTGATAACTCAAAAAGTTCTCAACCGATTCCAATGAAATTTTGCACACATCTACTTTACAGTAATAGCTTCTAGTTAAACCTCAAACATTCCAAAAAATGTTTCAAAAATTAACCCTTTTACCAAAAAAACCATTGAAAAAAAGGTGAAAAACCGAACTTTTTTTTTCTAAGGTGTGCCAATTTACGATTTTGTGACTTTTTTAATTTTTTTTTGGTTTAACTAGAAGATATATGTTTCATGAACACGTACAAACTAATTTTTTTAAATTCAGATCACCGTACGAAAAGTGAGAACGCCCGCAAATTGATGGCGTTTTCCGAGAGGGTCTTGGCAGATTTATTTTTACGGCAGCCATTTAAAAAGAAAAAAAATAAAAAAAAAATTTTTTTGTGTATTTTAATATATAATAAATAACCCTAAAAAAGTTCAAAAAGATTCAATCATTCCTTCCCAGTTTAAAAAGTCCTCAAAAAATGGTAAAAATTAAGGCGATTACATGTATCGCCCCCCTTAAAGAGTGCGCGGCTGTCCAACCAGAGAGTTTTTCAAGCCCTTTAACCCTTCGCCGTTTTAAAATAAGAGAAGTTACGGTAAAATTTATGATAGAGAAAGTTGTAGCTTATTTAATTACCTTTAAAATAGTATATTACAAGTTCTGATAAAATCAGAATTAAAAGAGTTATAATTCAATTAATGCTTCTGAACTTAAGATTAAGATAAGCATATTCCCAAAATATCAAGCAAATTGGAGCACAGTAAAAAAAATCACAGGGCACACGCTTTTTTTCCTCTTCATGAACTGCAATAATTTTGTTGATCGTTGGTTGAATAGAGCACGTGAACAGGATTTGACAAATTCATTCACTTTAAATATGAACTTAAAAAATAATGCATATTGAAATTATAATAAGAAATATGTAATTTAGATATTAAAATTACTAAAAGACAGTCAAAATATAGTACGAAATTATAAAAATTGTAGGCATGTTATTGAAGCAATTATTTTGGGTAGAAAAATTCAAGGTCTTATTGCACCTTTGCCGCGAATGCTATATATTAATTCTTTCTGAATTTGCTATACCTTTTAAAGGACTTCAATTTTCAACACGTGTATCTTATGTTATGACCATAAATCGCAACAGCAGACGATGATTTTTTGTGTGATAAATTTGGAAAATCAATGTTTTAGTCGTGAATAAACAAAAAATCATTCATTTATACATCTACAGGTATTACTAAAAATATTGTATAACCTTTGGCATTAAAATGATTTGAGCTATTGGAAATAAATTTGTTAGCAACTTTCAAATGTATATATAAATTTTGCTGTATTTTTGCAAATATATATATATATATATATATATATATATACGTGTGCTTATATAAACATTTTTCATATTTTCATGTAAGTCGATCCTTTTTGTATGGAGAAGATTGCGAAATAATGTAAACATATCGAAAAAATAAATATAACACATCTCAACCTTATATCGAAAGATAATCTTATTTTGATACAATATGTGCATACACATACACACACATATATATTTATATAGACTTTGTTAATACATATGTCAACATCAAATTCAGAATCATACAAAATATATATATATATATATACATATGTATGTATATATATAAAGAAGTTAATACAGAAAATAATTGAATATAGATTGAAAAAATAACAAGTCTTCTCAAGGTAATAAGATATTAGGCTTCTCGTCCTGATATATATATATATATATATATATATATACATATATTCGTTGTCACATTTTTGCTACAAAATTTCTCAATAAATTTAATTGTTTTATAATTTTTTTTCTCACATCTCATTATTAATAAAAATAGTACAAGTGTGTATAAAAAATATGAATAATTGTATACTAAATTCCACAATAAGATTTTAGATCTAAAATTGAGAAAAGCTTTTCTAAAAATAATGGTTTCGTATGCAAATTAGTATATGTAAGGCTTTTTGTTTGAAAACGTACAAGGCGTCTCCACCGTAAAAGCTCCCGAGCAATTTGTATATTACATATATTAAATTATATGTATATAATTGTGCATACGGATGAGTATAAGTATGTAATCAAATCTAAATGGGTTTATAAAATCTGAAATGTGTAAAATTATATTTAATACTTTGAAAACTTGTATACAAATTAAGTTATATATATATATATATATATATATATATATATGTATATATACACATATATTCTCCTCTATTCAGAATGAAAAACAAGCAAAAGTCTTCAATCAGAACTTTCACACTTCAACAAACCATTCGCAAATATTTTTCTAGTTCTCTCGTAATTAAAAGTTTGCTAAAAATTTTAAAAAACTTTTTCAAACTTTAAAAAAATATAAATAAAATGATCCAGAGCTAACATTCATTAAAGTAATTATGATTGTTAAATATATATATATATATATATACAGTGGTATGGATTTTAAATAAATTTCTAAAAACTCTCATACTATTTTTATAGATGTAACGCCCGATTTTTTAACGCAAATTAAATATTTTATATCAAAATCAAATTCAAGACTATTCAAATACATATATATATATATATATATATATATATTTGCATGATCTTAATCTTATTTTTGCAGCCATAAATAAATCTAATAATATATAATTTTGTTTCAGAATGTCAAACGTCTCCAGAAATAACTTCTACTTGGAAATCAAAAGAAAAATATTGAATGAAATTGAAAAACAAAATCTAAAAATACATGCATAAATTTATATAATAAACGTATTTAATATATATGTATATATATATATATATGTGTGTGTGTTAATAAAAATATATTTCTTCCATAATAAATTCAATTTCCATAATAAATCAAAAAGCTGCTCTTAAATAGAATCTTAATAGAATAAAAACATTCTTGATTTTAAATAGAATAGAGCTTTTATTGATTTGGACTAATTAACATTATTGTATATTGAATATATATATTTGAAATTACATTTTAAATTGATATTATTAAAATTAAATTTTATCAGATTAAAATTATTAAAATTAAATTATTATTATATAAATTAAATATTAATAGATATATAAATAAATTAATAACCTAATAGACATATAAATAATGATAGTGTCAAAAATATAAGTTATATTAATATAAATAATATAATAATTATAATGAATATACAAGTATGGATAATGATAATAATCTTAAAATATGTGCCACTATAATAAATAATGATAATAGCAAAAGATTCAATAACAATTATTATTAATTAATTTGTAGTGAATGGATTACAGAATTTGCAACATTATTAAAGTGCTTTTGTGTAAACTTGATAGTTTATAATAAATAAACATTTAAAAATGGCAATATTAAATTCTTGTTGCTGTTGGAGGTCGGTGAGAAAAGGGAGCTATGTCTGTGCAATATATACATTCGTAAGTTTATTTTATAATAATATCATTATGAATATATATATATATATATATATACATATATATGTGTGTGTATATATATATACATTGGTAAAATTGTGTAAAATTAATTCATCAAAACAAAATACTTGAAATACCAAAAATAATATTGCTTTAAACGTGTTCAAGAGCAAAGTCGCTTGCAACATATTCGCGATGGAATTAATTTTGAGGATACAATTCTATTTAATATTCTATATATAAATATATATATATATATATATATATATATATATTTCGGAAATATTCTTGCTACTTCAAAAATAATCCTTTTTCCATCTCAGGATTAATAAGAATAGTGCAAGTTTGTATAATATATCTGAATAATGCATACTAAATTTCACAACAAGATTTTAGATCTACAATTGAGAAGAGCTTCTCTAAAAATCATTGTTTTATATCAAATTAGTACATTGAGCTTTTTGAATGAAAATGTACAAGGCGTCTGTACCGTAAAAGCTCTCGAGCAATTTATATGTAACATATATTAAAATATATGTATATAAATGTGCATACGAATGAGTATAAGTATATATATATATATAAATTCACACGTCATAAAATCTTCTCTCTCAATCTAGATAATTTTCCTCTAATTAAATAGCATCCAATTAAACCGTGTCGTTAATTATAATTCTTGTACAGAATACCCAACTATTCGATGTCCCAGTCGGAATCTAATTAGAATTCTGTTAGGAATGCACTACTATCCGGCTACTAATGTCTTATTGGAATTCGGCGTTTGTATACATTCAGGGCGGGGTGAGAGGAAGTATCAATAGGTTTGTAATTGGGATGCACAATTACATTCATTGATGACAAGTTAATTGGATAGTATTGATAAGTTTGTCATTTTGGAAATTTACAGAATTTTTTGTACAAAGTTTGTTTAGAAAAATTTCGATTGGAAAGTGGAATGAGCTTAAAATTATTCTTATATATATTTAGATATATATATATATATATATATATATATATTACATTGCCTAAATTGTAATTCCGTTTACATAGATGAAACCAGTCAAAACTTGCACAAAAGAATATCACAACACAAAAACAATTCCAAAAAATAAAAACCAATATAAAACTATGCTCGCAGAACACATTAATGACATCAAACATAACATCGGTTTCCTCAATCCCACGATTCTACATTTCGAAAATAAATTATTTAAAAGAAGATTTTAGCCTAATATCATTAAACAATGAGCCGGCATAAAATAAAAAAACTGACAGCAATATAATTTATTTGTTTATTTTTTATCCATTTATTCATAAGAAAGCCGAAACCAATGATAAAAAATATATACGTTTATATACATATATACATATGCTTTGTACATATACATAAAGATCTTTAAGATAATCCCTCCTAAGTGATCACTCAAAATATCAGTAATCCCGTATTACAGGATCAGGACAATATATAAATATATTATATATAATACATATATATGTATATATATAAATATATATGAATTTATTATAATTGCTATGACATAAATTGCAATTTTTACGATCGAATGCAATTCTTCCTGCAGACACTTTGCTATTTTATGTCGAATCTCATAATGGAAATTATAAATAACACATATATAGATATATATACTTATACATATATATATATATATATATATATATATATGTGCATATTTAGGTCCATAAATCGATTATATATAAATGAACATTAAATTTACCATAAACTCTTATAATATTAATAAATATTCAACTTGTGTGAAAAATTGCGATAAAAATAACTAACTAATAAAATTATAAGAACGAATTTATATTATATACGAAGTATGACTTTAATTACATTATTGTTTTTAAATATTATACATATCTTTAATGCTATTATGAATATATAATTTATAATTTATCATTATATAAACGTCATTATATAAACTTTTTGAATAATAAAACTTCTTAAGAATTCCTTCGAAGAAAGAAAATGCATCTTATTTTCTCATTTCATTAGTTTATTACTCTGCACAAAGAAAATGCATCTCTTTTAATTCCGAACTTACATTTCACATAATTATGGGAATTTGTTCTCTCGGTATACACAATGTAGTTCATTAGTGAACAAATATATAGTAATTTTTTTTTAAAGAAAAAAAAAAGAAATCTGGCTAGCTACTAATGATACTATTCAAAATCTAATTGGGTAAATGATCTTGATTTAATGAAAAATGCCTGAATCAGAAGAATATTTTCTTGTTTCTTGAAAATAATAAAACAAATTAAACATTTGTGCCGTGTACAAACGTAAGTTTATTGATTAGAAATTATTTCTATATTAGGAAACAGTGGTGTATGGGGTTGGCATTAATAGTCAATAATTAATCTAGTATTTGTAGCAACTTTTATACTAATATTGATATAAATGATGCACGAGACAATATTGTATAAAATCAAACAATCTCGAACTTTTTCTTACAAAAAATGTCTGTAAGACTTCTCGATATACCCAAATTTGCATACATACAACATATTATATATTATTTTATAACAAACCAATCAAATAAGAAAAAACATGTCATGTAGGATTCTAATAAGATTTTCAAAAAAATCTGTACTCGAAGTAATACATGTCTTTTACGATGGATTTATATATTTTCAGAGTGCAAGAACTCTAAATATTCTCTCTTTGCACATTTAATGTACATAATAAATGTACTGTGAAACAAGCAAAGGATTTCTGATCGTAAAAAGCTTTCGTTTTATGAAAAAAAATATATAAATTGCCATCTCGAAATGTGAAATAAGTATTTGGTAATAACATGTGTTACATGAGGTAAAAAAGGAGCATAAAAGAAATATATATACACAAATACAGAAACTTTTCTTTTTAAAAACCAATTATGATATAATAAAAAAAATTGTGAATATAATATACACATAGACCCATTTTTTAAGGTATGCCAAAACGTAAATTTAATTCAAATCTTTGTACAAAGTGATTTCTTTTGGGTAATTTCTGTTTCTCATTTTGAATGTATATATGTATATATATATGAATTATCCTGTGGCTTTTCTACTAATCTCTGAATCCTGAAAACTTTGAGCTTTTTTATTGGATTTATTTTTTTAACGAAGAAACAACAAGGAAACAGGGACGAAACAAGAAGAAAATAAGGTGGCGGTTGCCTCTCACGAAATAATAATAGATTTATGCAAATTTCAATGCAAACAAATGTTTTTCGTTCGCGAAAAAATAAATTCCAAATTTAAAATTCAATATAAGAAGAGAATAGGAAATTTACATATTTATGTATATATATATATATATATATATATATATATATATATAAAGTTCTGTAACTTGATGAAATATTACTAATATTTTTATTATATACTTCATAGTGTAAAGCTCTTATCTAAAACTTCAGGACGAAAAGTTATTTACAAACTAAAGATTTTCCTCTCAACATCTATTCTGCATTCTTATGCAGTTTTCAGTCAAATACGATTCTTATTGGAATCCCTTTACAGTTTCGTATCGTTTGATAAAATTCCTTAAAGTAAACTAGAAGAATTTGCATCTAGTTCCTTTAAGATTTATATAAATATATATGATGATAGTTTTGTCGACGTTGATACATATTTGTAATATTTTTGCAGGCCAATCGTCAAATTAAAAAAAAAAAGATTAAATAACAAAATTATTTATTCCATTAAACGTTTCGACATTTGATGTGTGTCATCATTCAGTAATCTAAAAATAATAAATCAGTTTCTCACACCCCGCTCCCACTCCATCACTACACTTGCTTGTAACCTTGATCAGTGTTCATAATGCACCAGTATTAATAACATAAAATATAGGAGGGCAATATGTGCTCCTTCAGTTTCTTGTTGTTAATATAATAGTTATTATTATTTTACACAAATTTAGTGTTCAATCAAAAATTACATCATAATTAATTTTTTCTGTTGTTTTTCCTAGTTTGGTAAGTATAATTTCCTCCTTTTTTATATATTTATATTTATCATCAACTTTTTATATTTATGTTATATGTTTTTTAGATTGCTGAATGATTACTCACATCAAGTGACGAAACGTTTAATGGAATAAATAATTTTGTTATTTAATCTTTTTTTTAATTCGACGATTAGGCTGCAAAAATATTATAAATATATATATATATATATATATATATATATAATTGACGCTTATAGGCATTCATATGCACATTTATACATTAATTCCATATATTTCATGCATAAGTAGCTTGAGAGCTTTTACGGTGGAGACGCCTTGTACGTTTTCAAACAAAAAGCTCCACGTATACTAATTTGCATACAAAACTATTGTTTCTAGCTAAGCTTTTCTTAATTTCGTAAGCTCAATACAATTTATATTTAAATTACTTATAAATAATTAAATAATCGTTTTTATGTGCTAATTGCTTGAGTAAATAAATAAAATAAAAATACCAACATTTATATAAATATTTATATACACTATATTTTTGAATTTATTTATTTAATAAATACAACAAAGTATGACTCTTGTAGTATTTACACTATTTAATTAAATATATTATTATGATGATATTATTCTTTCTTGTAAGCTTTTTGTCTATTACAATGATTGATAATATCGATAATTATTGAATAATACATAAATAGTTATTTGTTTCGCCAAACATTACTAATTAGTAACCACAATCGACATGAATGTCACGTGCACGGACAAACGTGATTGTTTAATCATATAGAGAAATAATATAATATTATATTAATTCTCTATATGATTAAACAATCACGTTTGTTCCATCAAGTATATATATATATATATATATATATATATACATTTATTGTATATATTAGATATGAAAAGAATGCTAGAAAAGTCAAAATGAGAAAAGTTTTCCTTAAATCAAAGAAAAAACAAATAATGTGGATAAATGTAAGAAAACTTTTTGAGATGACCATGTGAAACAATTTTAATCATTGCCAAAATTCTTAGCAAAATGTTTGATATATATATGTATATGTATTTGTATATGTATATGTATATGTATATGTATGTGTATATTTTCTATGAATTTCTGTATAACTCAGTTAATTTCTCTAAGGGTTGCAAAATTAATGCAAATTTATTCAAGTTTATATTATGGAGACTGTTTTTGAATACAAAGTTGAAATAACTATATTCAAAACATATATGTATACATATATATATATATATATATATATATATATATATATATATATATATATATATATATATATATCCAGAATATAGTGAAAGAAAATTTGATTTTCTATCATTTACATATGCATAACTAATTAAACTTTTGTATAAAAATTTAAACAAAAATATTTAATTTTAATATATTTATTAAAGCTTGTACAGTATTTCATTAGTTTTAGAAAAACTTGAAAAAAAATGAGTGCGCGTAAGGTTCACACGCGATTGAAGTAAAACTTATTTGCTACTGTATACAAGATGGCATTTAAGTAAAAATATATACATTATATAACAATTTTGAATAATGTTTATTAGTAATATGGTAATATTCGTGATGCACACATTTGTTAGCGTCAACCATTATACATATTTATATAATGATAAATTATAAATTATATATTTATAATAGCATTAAGAATGTGTATAATATTGAAAAGCAATAATGTAATTAAAGTCATACTTCAAATATGACATGATCGGTTTGTCATTGTAATTAGCATTAAGAAATTAACCCTCATTAGAGAAATGAAGTAATTGTTTATTAATAAATTCTATAATAATCGTACACACTAATCGTACTAAAGAAATATTGTTTTCACAATTTTACTCATCATGTAATAATTGTGTTTGAAGAACTTCATGTAATTAAAATTAACATACATTCATTGACTGCTTTTATTTTATTTTTTACTTTTTCGCTGGCAATATAATCTCATTCTTTGAACTGTCTTGCCTAAAAAATATTTTCCATTTTAATAGCTTACAAAATTTATAGAAACTACGAATAATATAGAAAGTATTTCTAATCAATGAACTTACGTTTAGTACACGGCATAAATGTTTAATTTGTATTATTATTTTCAAGGAACAGGATAAAACATTCTTCTGATTCAGGCATTTTTCATGAAATCAAGATTTGTACTACGATGTAACTTTAAAGTGTTTATTTATCTATGCCGATTTTTTTGTTGATATCGGAACGCATACAACGTTGATGCCGGTACGCATACAACGACAGATCGCTATTCACATACACGACGACTAATCACAATCGACCCGTATAGAAATGATCTCATCGAGACCGATTGACGAACAGTTCTGGCGTAACGCACTTCCGTTGCATTTGTACCGATTTACAGACTAGTCGCGCCTAAAGAAGCTTTACTTCAAAAACTAGTTATATAAAAATCCTTTAAAGCCTTAATTATTCTCTATTTCTTATTTTATTAGTATATTGAATTAGAAATCCTTTTATTTATTTCTCAAATGAACTCACTTATTCCTCAGATAACTATCTGTGGGATAAGAAAATAACGATCCTTTTCGTTTTACGATTTTAGTTCGATGAGCTTTTCAACATTTACGACTTTTTTGTATGGAAATCGTTTTTTTATCGACGTTTTCTTTGTAGAGTGATTGAAAAAATAAGAACGAAAACTTTTTTTGTGATTTTATATGAAATTTTATAAAAAAAAACATAAATATTTTGTCTATTTAAGCCATTACTTTTCCAATTATTAATTTACTATATTGATTGATTGGTTTCATATAAAATGTCTGGGGCCCTCGAGTAATGTTTACTCAATCGACTTTTGTTTACATTTTATGACTCCGGAGCTGTAAATATCGTTTCAGGCAAAAACAAACAGTTTGATTTGATCGTAAAAAATAATTAAGAGGCTGCGATTTAATTTAATTAATTAATAGAGAGTTATTAAGCCGCTTGTGCTATGTGTAGTATAGATAAACTTGGTGAGTGCATTTATTTATTGTAGATCTTGTAACTTTTGAACCATTCAATTAATATAAATGGTGTACAAAACAAATTTATTTTTAATTTAGTAATCTGTAATTTGTTCTAACAATACAGAACTCTAGAACAACTCGGTGTACTTTAAATTAACCAATTAAAATACATAAGTGAATTAATTCAGTGTGCTCATTCAAAATGCAGCTACTTTAATTTATGCAACAGATTTATGCAATTGTATATTAAACTTGTTATAACTTCTAAACTGTAAATGCAAACTAAATTAACTATTATACTAAAATATACAGAATTGATAATAGATAATCTATAATAGTTTCTATAAAAATATGTATAATATTCAAAAACAATCATGTGAATAAAGTCATACTTCAAATGTGACATGATCGGTTTGTCATTGTAATTAGCATTTAGAAATGAATCTTTATTTTTTAATATTTGTTCATACAGTGGATTATGTTAAACAACGCCTAAACAAATATTGTTTTTGCAACTTCACTCATCATGTATTGTATTTAAAGAACTTTATGTAATAAAAATTAACATACATTCATTGACTGCTTGTATTTTTTTTACTTTTTCGCTGGCGATATAATCTCATTCTTTGAAAAAATATAATTATTTATTATAATATATTAAATAAAAATTATAATAATCATTATAATATATTAATATTTATTGTTTATTTATAGATTTATTTCACCATAATGGGATGTATGTTGGCAGCATTTCTACACAAAGAACGTCTGTATTTAATGGGTGAAACAGATGCTCCTGAAAGTTACAGTTTTTTAGAAGAAGAAATATCTAGAGGTCTGTATTCAACAATAATAATAGTAATAATAATAATAATAAACAGAGGAACTAATATTTTGCTCAAGTGTTACATTTGTGTTACGTTATCCTTACATTAAAAAATGTTATGTAAAAGAAACGTGGTTAGTGTTACCTCAACTTTACATAGTAGTTTTTTATATCATTTTCAAAAAAAAAGTTATTCGGCAGACCCATAATGATAATATTATTGAAATGAAGGAGTGGAATTTAATAATATAATAGATAATAAAAATAAAACAATTAATAATGATTATATTATAATAATAATAAAAAAACTTTTTGCAGCAGCGTTACATTTATGTTACGTTACCTAAATTGTAAAAATGTTATGTAAAAGAAACGTGTATTATACCTCAACATTTCTTATTTTTGTTTTTAAATTATATCTTATAATAATAATATTAGTATATACATAAAATATAAGAAATAAAAATAATATAATTTTATATTGTGATTTATGTTTTTTTTATTTTAGCAACAATGTCCCTGCACATAGTTTTGGTGGTTGTATCAATTTTGGGAGTTATTTCTTCTATTTTACTGTTTTTTGGGCTTTATAAGGTAATAAAAATAAATATTAATAAATAATAAAATATAAATATAATATAATAAATATTAATATATAAATATAATGTTTATATTAATTAATTTATTTATTTTTTCAGGATATGCGAATACTTCTTCTTCCTTGGATATATTTAGTTTCTCTTGACATTGCATTCGAGTTTTGTCATTTTATTTATTTGGTCATTCAAGATTCGGTGAGATTAATTATATATTTAAATCTCTAAATTTATTTTCAATATATTTATATATAATAAATAATAATAATATTATTATTTAATTTTACAGGTGTACTTGCATCCCATAGCAGGTGTTTTATACACAGCAGATTTCTTTGTTTTGTGTTTAAATGTGAGTTCATAAATAATATATATATATATATATATATATATATATATATATATCAGATTAATTGCTCTAATTGCGAACTTTTTATATCGGAGAAATTAGTCAAAACCTGAGTAAACATCTTCATCAACATAAAAATAACTCAAAAAATCCAAAACAATTTAAGACTATGTTAACCGAGCATATTATTAATTTAATCCATAATATAGATTTTTTCAACCCAAAAATTTTACATTTTGAAGAGAACGTAATTAAAAGAAGATTTGCTGAGGGGTTGTTTTTGAAATTGTATATCGACAGGGTCATAAACAAACGCTTCGACAATACGGTCCTGAATGAAACAAACACGTGGTTCCTAAATAGCGTGTCAAAATTTCCTAAAAAATGACAAGATTCCATCGCTTTTTAAATTTCCCGTTTTCCAGTTTTAATTTGTGTAGTTAAATTGATTGCAACTGAATGAAGGCTAAATGCTACCCGAAACGTATGGATTTTAAATATATTTCTAAAATTTTTAACTGAAATTAAATATATATTTTATTGCAGACATATGCATTACTCTGTGTGATTTCACAATACCAAGAATACAAAGCTGGTCGAGGCACTGCCAGTGATGATTTTGATCATTCGGTAAAAGAATTACCAACAAGCAGATATATAAACAAATTTATGTCATATTGTAAATATTTTTTAGATTCCTTCCCTAAGACTGCAATATTTATCACACCACAATGCTGCCAGAAATGCAAATCAAGCTGGCAGATCAGTAATTATTTTAAATAACAGTAACGCAGAAACTCAAATAAATTCAACAGATGTAAATATACAGCATTGTAATTTAAATAGAATCAATCAAGACAGTAATGCCTTACATGGAACCACTAATATTTCTGTAATTGGATTGGAACCAATGCGTAATGGTAATATTAAAATTAACTACCCACTAAACCAAACACTGTAACATTTACGTAGTTTTTATGAAACCGTATACATTGTACGAAACAGTTAAGTCACATAAATGTAAGCAATGTGAATAAACCAAAAATCGTAACACTTTCGTAGTTTTTGCGAAACCGCATGCAATGTACGAAACAGTTACGTAACATAAATGTAAGAATATAAATATATAGAAATTTCGCCGTTTTTTATGATAGATCGTTTTTTTTAATTGTATAAATTACATTAAGGATTATTTTCAAAATTTGATAATAGGATTCATAACTTTTAAGGATCAATTGACTGACGTGATTTCTGTTTGTAAATAATAAGTAACATCGTGTTACGTAATTCACCTTTCATATTTGTTACGAAACTGTGGTACATGAATGTGCCATGTTACAAAACTGTAGATTATTATAAGAAAATGAAAATAAGGAATATTCAGGCTCAAGTGCTACGTGAGTGTTTCGTTATTGTTACATTGACCAAAAATTACGTTAAAATAAACTTTTTCTTTAATATTTTTGTTAAAATATCTGACAATAATAGTAGTCATGATATAAATAAAAATTATACAATAAATAATGATTATAATAATGATAAAAACTTTTTGCAGCAATGTTACATTTATATTACGTTACCTAAATTGTAAAAATGTTATGTAAAAGAAACGTGTATTATGCTACCTATATATTTCTTATTTTTGTTTCTAAATTATATTTCATAATAATAATATTAGTAAAACAAAGGAATTATAAATAAAATATAAGGAATAAAAATAAAATATTTTTATATTGTAATGTATGTTTTTTATGTTAGCAACAAGGTCTGGTTTAGTGGGTTGAAATTAACTATTAACAAAAAAATGTTGTTTGTTCTTATTTTTAGATAAATCTAAGAATAACAACACAATATCTACACATAGAAATAATTTGAATAAAACTAGAAAAGTTAAGTTTCCTGATGAAAGAACTGTGATAGTTTCAGATGATCCGAGTCAAATCGATGTTGATATAGATATAGATATGGATACAGCTCGTGACAACACATCAGGTAAAACCCTAATATATATTTATACATATATAAAAGTATATATATTTATCTATTCAGAAATCTCCTCTTGCCAATGGAAATCTAACCAGCATCAACCAAGATTCGATGAAGAACCTCTTCTGCACCATTCACCAGAAGAACAAAGAAGTATTTTTGAAGGCGAATAATATTTAATGTTGACTGCAAATGGATTTGCAAAAGATGATTTAAACTTAGAAATAGAAAGATAGCATCGAGATAATCCAGGGAAGCTCTTGTATCAAGGAAGAGGAAAGTCAAGGAGTATTTAAAAAATGGATTTGTAAATATAGAAGAGAAAAGATTCTATAAATAAAATATTTTATAAGTGAATGGGTTTTGAACAATCCAAACTATATTGGAACCAAATCATTCTTCTTCAAAAAATTTGTTTGCATGAATATTTGATTGGATTCATGAACACAAAAATGTGTTTATATAATTAATCAAACCTAGATCAGGGTGGATGAAGTTAAATTGGATCTGATTATTGAAGTCAATAGTATGTAATACTAAGTTTTTATATATTTAAATATAATATTAAACGTTATTTATATATTTTATATTAATAACATTATATTAGCTTAATAAAATTTATTATGTATCGTATATCAATTTTATATGAGAAAAACCAATTGATTTATATATAATTAACATATTAATGAACCAAATATTTATATATACATTAATATAAATTTTATAAATATAGGATTTAAAATAAATGTTTTAACTTAAGAAAATTTATCATAAGTTTTACTGTTGCAAATGATTTTATTACTCTGGATTTTAAAATTTATTAAATGAGGTGTATATTTTATAATAAAAATTTTACTAAAATGTATTTTGTGTGTTCAATTAATTTATTTTTTAATAATATACTATGCATGATTTTTAATTTTATAGTAGTTTATTAATAAAGGATCCGCCATTTACATTTTTTTGGCAGCCATTTATAATTTTTAAGCAGCCATTAGGAATTTTTTGGCAGCCATTTCAAAGCAGGCAGCCATTTTAATGAAATTATTTTATATTATTATGTTTCAGAGTTTTCTGAACATTTTGGCATACCTTAGAAAAAGTGGATGTATGTGTGTGTTTATATGTGTGTGTTTATGTGTATGTGTGTGCGGATACAAAATTTCGTCGACGATTTCGGGAACACTAATCAACCGATTTGAATAATTCAGACGTGCTGATTAGTTTTTGGGGAACGCAGGTCTAGCCGTTCTGAAGATACGGGGCAAAAAGTGCCAAAAACGGTAACTCAGTTTTTAATAGAACGGAGCGTCCGATTTTAATAATTCAAAAAACATTTTACTTGCATTGACGAGGTAAAGAACTGATTAAATTTTTGGGAAGGCAGGTCCAGCGGTTATGGACTCTCAATGTAAATAAGTTAAAAGAATGTCATTTGGTGGTCAAAAATGTTTATTGGACATATGTTCATCAAATTATTAGATATTTTATAGAGATTTTATTAATGTGTACAAATTTTTTGTAAACTTTTTTGGGTTCCGTACCAAAATTTTTGATTACGGTACGGGAAGTTCTAGCAATTTGCTTTAAGGCACCATGCATATGCACCACTAGTTTGGACTTTTTTGCGATTACTATAACGGGAAGGTAACTAATTAGAAATAATGATAACAATAATAGTAGTCTGCACAAAGGCAGGTCATGGGCAGGTCCATGAGAGCACCACAAAAAACAAATTTCCCCCCCTTCCTGTTTATTATTCCCATTATCATCTTATTACTATTATTTAACTAATATATATTTTCTTATCCATGTATATTATACATATTTTTTTTATAAAATTCAAATTTGCCACCAAAATTTTAGTTTTTTTTCAAGGTTGTCAACCTATGCAACTTCACATTGTTCACATATTTATTTTGAGTGCATTTGCACAAATTACATATGTCAACTTTATGCATTTGAAATGCAGATAAAAACGTTCTTGTACGTTTAATTTTTATTTATTAGACAAAAATTATAAAGTAAGTATCCATAATAATCATATATAACAATAAAATAGTAAATAAACTTGTATTATACCAATTATGCTTGACATAAATATTTTGAGGTTATGTTAGGATCAAGATTTTGTTTAAAATTTATATATTTATATAAATTATGTTTGTTACTATTATTATTCATTTCAGATTTTAAAACGTGTTAAATGTGAGAGGCAATTGTTATTTAAATACTCGGACTTAGATATTAATAAAAAGAAACATGTCGAGACATAGGAATGTTCGGTCTATGAATTACAAGGATGGTGAGTTGGATGATTTTTATACTTATTTAGATGTAAGTTGGTAGTTTTATTGCAGTCTTTAGTTGTATTTTAGTTTTAATAATGCAATAAATTTAATAACAAAATCTTTGTTGCTGAAAGGAACACAAATTAGTGTCAAACACAATCTTTTCAATAGCTTTACGAGCTGCGTTGCATATATTATAATCTTATAATAATTTTGTTACTGAAGCATTTAAGACAAGTGATTGTCATTTGGAGGCACTATGTTTACAAATTGATTATTTCATTGATGTCTTTGATGGTATTTTAGTATTGATTATGTTTAAAAACAATTCTTTCAAAAGAAGAACATATCAAGACATAGGAATGTTTGGTCCATGAATTACAAGGATGGTCAGTTGGGTGATTTTTTACTAATTCCCACTTTTTAGACATAAATTTATAGCATAATTAAAGCTTTAGTTGTGTTTTAGTCTCAATAATGCAATAAACTTCATAATAAAATCATTGTTGCTGAAAGGAACACAAATTAGTGTCCAACACAATCTTTTCAATAGCTTTACAAGCTGCGTTGTGTATATTATAATCTTATGATGATTTTGTTACTAAAGTATTTAACACAAGTCATTATTATTTGGAGGCTTTATGTTTATAAAGTGATTATTTTATTGAAGTCTTTAATTGTGTTTCAGTCTTAATAATACCTAAAAATTGATTGAATTGATTGATTCAATGCTTAAAAGGAATTCTTTTGAAAATTCAAATATTGGCATGCACAATCTACATAATGAGCTGTATTATGAATATTATATTCCTAATTTTTTGCCAAAATATTTAATACAAGCAATTTTTACTTTTGAGGCGTCTTTGCATATAAATTGATCACTTGTTTTTGGAAACTTTACTCTACTTTGATAATTTATTCAGCAAAAAAACATTGTAAACAAACTTTAGATATATTCAATAACTTTACGATATTTACTATCAATATCTTAATGTGTGCTGTGTTTATAAATATAATGAGTTTTTCACCAAAATATTAAATACAGTTTAGTTATTGATATGATGTTTTTCTGGTAGCAGTTAATTTTAAAATAATGCTTTGAATTTATTACTAAAACTTGCTACTCAAATTTAACATTCTTACTTAATATATTTACTACAGAAATTATTTATTTATAGATGCAGGATTTTGGTATGATAAATTAAATTGAAACATAACTTTTTAATATAACAACAGAAGATAACTATGATAAGGAAGCATTATGTCTATATAAACAGAATTGTTATGTCTTCATTTTGAGCTTCTTCAAATTATGGACTTCTGTATTTCAATTTATTGTCATCATTTCTCAAGATACTTTATTTCTCAGCATATTTTCTTAGCAAATTACCTATACAATCTACATACTTCAATAGAAAAGTTTCTTTAGTCTTTTAATTAAAAATACTAATTAAAATTAAATTCCATAAGTCTTCCGACTTTAGTTTATTTTAAAATAATGCTGAAAATTTAAAGCTAAATCATAATTTGATTCTAATATAATTATTTATTTATAGTTGCAGGATTTTGCTATGATAAATTAAATTGAATACAAGGTGTTGTGAAAGGATTGATAATATTTTGTCTTGATTAAAAGAATTGTTATGTCTTCATTTTGAGCTTCTTCAAATTATGGAGTCGTGTATTTCAAATTGTTCACTTCATTTCTCAAGATATTTTAATCTTTAGCAATAATACAAGCAATCTACATACTTTAGCAAAAAAAAATCTTTAATCTTTTAACCAAAACACTATTTTTTATAATAATAATCAAGACTTATATTTACAAATAATTAATATTGGAATGTATGTATGAAAAGCATGATTTTGTAAATTATGTGAGATTATTATTATTCTCACACATTTCAATTTTTTTCATTTGATAATACTTGATTAAAAATATAAATCAATTCCATTTATAGTTTTATATATCTATGATTTTCATAACAAATTCTGACTTAAATCAAATGAGGGCATGTAACCCACTTGAATTAAATATAAATTTATTCTTTAATAATATATTATTTTAATATATATATATATATATATATATATATATATATAACATTGTGCAACCATACAATGTCATTACAGAATGTTGTGCAATAATTTCATATATATATGTAAAAGTTCTCGAAGACCATTTAGTCAGTTTTAAGTCTTCTTATAGTTTAGTTTATATTTAAGTATAAGTGCTTTGCATTTAAATATAGTTAATATATAAGTAAAAAAAAAATTGCAAGAAATTTTCATTGATCTCGAGTGTGATTTTAAAATCCTGTTCATAACAACTATTTGTTTATTTATTACTAATTTGAATATGTTTAAATGTTGTAGATATAAAAGTAAGTATATATTATATATATATATATATATCTATATATAATCTATATCTTATCTATATATATATATATTATATATATATATATATATTTATAAACAAATCAACTATGTAAAATATATATAAACAGAACAAAAAAAAATACAAAATAAACATAACAAAATAATGATGAACTTTACATGATCAAGTTAATTTAAAATAGTTGCTATATAATTTTTTTTCTATCATATTTATTTTAGATAATTTTTTTTCTATCATATTTATTTTAGATATTTTACATACTAAAAACTTTTTAAACATAGTTAAGGATAAGTTTTATCATTATCAGTGCAAATTCACAAATCACTTGAACTTATATTAGTTATATTTTATATTTCTAGTGTTCTTATTAATAATAATAATTAATCTTTATTATTATCTTATTATTATTATCTATTTCTTTAGAGTATGATGGTTACGATGATGTCTATGGTCATTCTGTAGAAGATGACTCCTGTATTTCTCCAAGTGATGCTGCACAATGGATATACGACAGGAATAACAGAAGTGGTGTCCAGCATGGAATCGGGAGCTATCTAGATGCTGATAAAGATATCCCTGAAGAAAATGAAGAGGAAGATGAGGTGGAGTTTGGACGAAGGGATTCAGTGGTAAGGGATAATAATAACTTAAAACAAATAATGGATTAAAGTTTATTGTGAAAAAAAATACAAACAGTCAATGAATGTATGTTAATTATAATTACATGAAGTTCTTCAAACACAATTATTACATGATGAGTGAAGTTGCAAAAACAATATTTGTTTAGGCGTTGTTTTACATAATCCACTGTGTGAACGAATATTATAGAATTTATTAATCAGCAATTACTTCATTTCTCTAATGAAGGTTCATTTCTAAATGCTAATTACAATGACAAACCGATCATGTCATATTTGATGTATGACTTTAATGACATTATTATTTTTAAATATTATACATACTTTTAATGCTATTATAAATATATAATTTATAATTTATCATTATATAAATGTGTATAATGGTTGAACCTAATAAATGTGTGCATCACAAGTGTTACCATATTACTAATAAACATTATTCAAAAATGTTATAAATTATTTATTAAATATTGTACAGTAGCAAATAAGTTTTACTTCAATCACCTGTAAACCTCACACCCACTCTTTTTTTATGTTTTTTAGGATTTACCACAATTATCTTCAGTAGAAAAGGCAAAGTTAGCTTCCTGTCTTGAAGAAATAAAGAATGTCATCGGTGAAACTATTCCAGAGCGAAGTATTGTTGAAATAATTATCAAGCATGATTTTGATTTGGCAAAATCACTTGACGAAGCTCTGAATAGCAATAATAGCTCCAAGGAGGATTTTAGTAAAAAAGGAACCAGTGATAAAGGTGATAATAATAAATTATACTTATTTATTATTGAGCATTTATTTATTATATCTCTTGTAACTTTTAAACTGTCTAATGAATTTGAATTATAAGAATTGTTAATAATTAAATAATCTATAACTTTTACTAATTATAAAAGTTTCTAGAACAACAAAGTATATTTTAAAAATGCATTTGAAAACAGGCACATTCTTTTAGTTTCTCTTGTAACTTTTAAACCTTTTGATGAATTTGAATGATGTCTAAGGGAAAATTGTTTAAAATTGAATAATAATTTTTTCAACAATAAAAGTCTCTAGGACGACTCAGTATACTTTTTTAATCTTTTAAGCGTAGTGCTGTTTGATAGCTGATTTATGTGCATTTATTATAACACTAGTGATTGTAAAACCATTCTATTAATTTTAATGATATAAAATATAAATAGTTGAAAATTGAATTATCTTCAATTTGTCCAACAATAAAAAATGGAAAATGTATGCTTTAGACTAGTCTTTCAAGCTTAGTGCTGCTTGATAGCTGATTTATGTGCATTTATTATAACACTTGTAACTGAAAACCATTCTATTACTTTTAATGATGAAAAATATAAATAGTTGAAAATTAAATAATCTTCAATTTGTCCAACAATAAAAGCTCTAAAAACGTGATAAATGATATTTAAAGAAATTTATTCAATAAGAATACATTTATTTATTAAAAGCTATATAGTTTTATAAATATAACTAAATATATTCATTTTTTGTTTTCATGTATCGTGTGTGTTCTTCTGGATATGCTCTAACAAATTTCTACATTGTATTCAAAAATTGGATCATCTGGATCATTACATACATATTTATTTATATGTAAATTTGTAAGGTAAGATCTTTCAACTAGCTCTAAGAACAAAAAACCGATGAGTTTAAAAGATTTAATGCAATCTGCAAACAAAAGCGCAAAAGTTTTTAAACCCTTAAACCTGAATTTAAATAAAACTCCTAATAGTGTAAATAATGATGTTAAGACTGAATTTAATTCCTTGGACGAACTGACAAGTTTCCATTTAAAAAACGCTGGCACAAATAATTTTATGATACCGAAATTTAATTTAAACAAACCACAAATGACTTGAAATTTGTAGTGCCAAAATTAAATTTGTCATCCACCCCCAAAAAACAAAATGATACTTCATCCAAATCTGAAACAACAGCACTCGAAACATGGCACATTGATTTAACATCTGCTTTAAAAAACATTCCAACACCAATCCAAAAAACTAACACAAATAATAATACTAAACACGATTCGTCCGATGAAAATTTTACACCACAATTTGTAGATTGTGAAGTGGAAGTTAAAGAAATGGAAGTTGCAGAGTGTTGTTTGAATATTTCCAGTATTTTAGATGTTGATTTGAAACATTTGACGAAAAAGCGGTCGAGTTTTGGTAAAATTTTATGTAGGAATTATGTTAGTTGTTATAAACCTGAAGTTCCGCACAAGTTTGAGGTTTTGAATAAAATAGAGCCTTTTAAATTTGATGTGCCATCGCCGGATGATAATATACAGAAGTTTGTAAAGAAATAACAACTAGTCGTTAGTATAAAAAAAATTAATAAGTATCTTTTTACAACACTAAATTCGTTTTTGCAACGTTATGACGTAAATGTTACGGTTTCGTGGCATAACAATTTATTTTTATTAATTGTACATATTATTATTTATTTTAGAACCAATGTATCATAGTGCATGATATGTTTTAACCAAGAAAAATTTTAGTTCAGAAGAATAAAACAACAAACCAAATTTGATATTGTTGCTGTTATTTTCATTTGTGTTAATATTTTTATTAATTTAAGACATTTAACTATTAACATCTGATACCTATCACGTTTTTATGATATTTTTGTAAAAGTTGCAACAATCCAAAATGTTTATTGTATCATAAGTTATTCTAATTTGTTGTTTTTGTAACTTTTTAATTACACGTTTAAGTATATAGTTAAAATCGACTTTTTGTTCTTATTTTTGTGACGTTACTGTTACGAAAAAGTTGCATCGGCGCAATTGCTACATTTTTAGCTTTATTTTTCCATAACAGCCTTCTTCTGCCAATTACATGAATAAGTTTTTATCAATTATTAAAAAAAATCTAAAATAGTTTAATTTATGTGACCACAAGTAGTACGTAGTAGTTATTGCATTTTCATTTGTTGTTTTTGTAACTTTTCTTCAGCTTTTTGTTCTTATTTTTGTGACGTTACTGTTACGAAAAAGTTGCATCGGCACAAATGTTACAATTTAGCTTTATTTTACATAACAGCCTTTCTTCTGCCAATTAAATAAATACGTTTTTATCAATTATTATAGAAAAATCTAAAATAGTTTAATTTATGTCCACAAGTAATACGTAGTTATTGCATTTTTATTTGTTGTTTTTGTAACTTTTCAATTACACGTTTAAGTATATAGATAAAATCGACTTTTTGTTCTTATTTTTGTGACGTTTTTGTTACGAAAAAGTTGCATCGGCACAAATGTTACATTTTTAGCTTTATTTTCCATAACAGCCTTCTTGTGCCAATTAAATAAATACATTTTTATCAATTATTGAAAAAAATCTAAAAATAGTTTAATATATGACCACAAGTAATACGTAGTTATTGCATTTTTATTTGTTGTTTTTGTAACTTTTCAATTTTGTAACTTTTAGTGACGTTTTTGTTACGAAAAAGTTGCATCGGCACAAATGTTCCTTATTTACGTTAACAGCCAATGAAATGAATACATTTTTATCAATTATTGAAAAAAAAATTAAAAGTAGTTTAATTTATGACCACAAGTAATACGTAATTATGGCATTTCTTTAACGGAACAACATTGGAAAACATATTTTTTATTAATTTAGTTTATTATAATATTATTATAGATAATAATCAAACGTTCTATATAATTAAAACAAAATTACTATAGTTTTACGATGCTATTCCCATTTTTGTGACGTTTTTGTTACGTAGAAGTTGCAACAATCCGAATGTTACATTTTTACAGCTTAACTACTATTGGAAAATTCATAAATTGCTCTATATAATTCTATATTAAACTTTCTATATAATTAAAACAAAATTATTATAGTTTTACGATTTTTTACGTAGAAGTTGCAACAATCCGAATGTTACATTTTTACAGCTAACTACTATTGGAAAACTCATAAATCGTTCTATTTTGTTATTTTTGTTATAATTATACATCTTATATCAATATTTAGCAATAATTGATAAATAATTCTATTTGTGATAACAGAATATACGTAACTAGCGTTTTTTAACGTTTTTCAGAAATGATAAAGTATTTTTTTAAAAATAAATAAAGATAATTAAATATTAAATATAAAGTAAACATAATAAATTTGGTTTTAATATATTGGTATTTGTAGCTTCGATTTTAATATTGAAAAAAATAGTTTATTAAGTTATTTAATTTATAATTTATATAAAAAGTATTAATAAACATTTGGGACATTCATTATTTATTATGATTCGTAGCGTTTGATCTCTATGTGAATATAATTTTAATATAAAATTAGTTTGTAGATTGTTTTAAATAATATTGACACTCATGTATACTGGTGAATTTTGAATTAAAAAATAGTAAAAATAAAAAATTGTGTTATTTTCTATGATAACTCAAACAAAAAATATTTATATTCTTATATCTGGATTTGGATTGTTATTTTTATAAATATTTCTATATTTTCTAAATGAGTTACAGGAAAATTTGAAACAGATGTCAACATAAAGTTTTCCCAACAAATTCTGCAGGATGCCAATCGTGGCTCGGGTGATGTCACAAAAGTTATTACTCAGGCGAAGGGAAATGTTGTTAAAGGATTTTTAGCTCCTACTATTACTCAAGAACAGGTAATAAATAATATATATTTATATAATTTTTTAATCAGCAATTACTTCATTTCTCTAATGAAGGTTTATTTCTAAATGCTAATTACAATGACAAACCGATCATGTCATATTTGAAGTATGACTTTAATTACATTATTAATTTTAAATGTTATACATATTTTTAATGCTAATATATAATTTATAATTTAGCATTATATAAATTTGTATAATGGTTGACACTAGTAATTGTGTGCATCACGAGTGTTACCATATTACTAATAAACATTATTCAAATTTATTATATATGTATTTATTTTTACTTAAATGCCATCTTGTACAGTAGCAAATAAGTTTTACTTCAATCACGTGTGAACCTTACATGCACTCTTTTTTTTAATCAACTGATATTTTATTAACTTCCCGCAGGGCAAGTTATAGTAATCGCAAAAAAATCGAAAATGAAAATTTTTATATATTTTTACGTTTCAAAGGTTTCTGAACATTTTGGCATATCTTAGAAAAAAATGGATATGTGTGTGTGTGTATGTGTGTGTATGTATGTGTGCGGATACAAATTTTCATCGACGATTTCGGGAACACGAATCAACCGATTTGAATAATTTAAAAAACATTCGATTCGTATTGATAAGGAGACATGCTGATTAGTTTTTGGTAAAGGTAGGTCTAGCCGTTCCGAAGATACGGGGCAAAAAGTGCCGAAAACGGTAACTCAGTTTTTAAGAGAACGGATTGAATAATTCAGATTGAATAAAAACGGAGAACCGATTTGTATAATTCAAAAAACATTTATTTGTATTGACTAAATGAAGAACTGTTCAAAATCTTGGAAAGGCAGGTCCAACGACTTTGGAGATATGGAGGAAACAGTAAAAAAATGAGCCATTTGGCGGTCAAAAATGATCATTAGACATATAGACATCAAATTATCAGATATTTTATAGAGATTTTAACAATAAGTATAAATTTTGTTTACATTCCCATGGGTTCCTTACCAATGTTTACGTGTTAGACGGCAATGCGGCGCTTACGCGCTTTGATATTTCGTCTTTATGCAGTGAAAGCAGTACGATTGCTTTGAAAAAACCTTCAGAATTTCCAAAATATGTCAAAATGAAGAAAACATTTTTCTTTTCAAAAAAAATTTTTTTTTTAAAAAGTATTTTTTGTCAAATTTATAGTTTCTCAAAATCGAATTTTTTCGAAGTAAAATTTTTTCAAAAATGTTAATTGTTTTGAAAAAATTAATAATTTTTAGTACGGGAAGTTCTAGCAATTTGCCTTAAGGCACGATGCCTTAATTGCCTTAAGACAGAATTCCACTTACTCTTTTTCAATCACTCTTTTTTTTAATCAACTGATATTTTATTTATTCTATTATCAATGTTAACTGTTTTTTTAATTAAATTTGTTGTTTTAGGTGAAAAGTTCTTTATCAATTACTCCAAGAAGTACATCACCAGTAGATGATAAGGAAAATGGCTGTGATATTACCAGTGAGTAATGGATTGAAGATAATTTAATAATAAATTCAATTACAAATAAAATTTAGAAAAAAAAAAATGCCACAACCTAAACTGGAAATCATTATTATATTTATTTCTGTTATTTTTTTATTTTCAGCTACAAATAGTGGTAGAAATACACCCCTGTCCGAACAACCACCTCAATTAGAAGACTCAAATCAAATCAAATCTCAATTAGCTCATAAAGAAAAAAATAAATTTAATGTCCAGGAGCAATATGAAAAAGATAGAGGCTCCAGTAAGGAGCAGATACATGTTGTGGTCATTGGACATGTTGATGCTGGTAAATCCACCCTTTAATATTAATAAAAATTGTTATATAATATAATAATAGGAAATAATTAATAGGATTGTATTTAGTTGGTTTAAATTAACCTTTTATATTTTAAATAATTCTTTAATATTTAAGGAATGGTGTTTAATTTATTAATTGTATTTTAGGTAAATCAACTTTAATGGGACATTTATTATATTCACTTGGTGAAGTCTCGCAGAGAACTATGCATAAGTATGAACAGGTAATTATTAATCATTTATTTTAGTTGAAGTGCAACTTCTAGTGTGACTTTAGATGGAAAGAAACAAAACGAGAATTGTTTGAATGTGCTGTATCTGATGTAGATTGTCTGGAAGTTGTATTAGTTGTCTGAATCATTTATATTAATTGAAGTGCAACTTCTAGTGTGACTTTAGATAGAAAGAAACAAAACGGGAATTGTTTGAATGTGCAAATGTAGATTGCCTGGAAGTTGTATTAGTTGTCTGAATTTGGTGTGAGTTGTCTGAATGTGGTGAGAGTTGTCTGAAAGATTGTATGAGAGCGTAGTAGATTGTCTGAGAGTGTTATAAATTATCTGGTCATATTGTGAGTCTGAGAATGGTGTAAGTTTTTTTTTTTTTTTTTTTATTTTCAATAATTATTACAACTGCTAAATTATTAACATCAAGTAATATTGATAAATAATAACATAAATTTAAATAAATAAAAGTCCAAAGGATAAAATTTACATGAAAATAATATCCGTAATATGATTTGATATAAAATATAAGCAAATAATAATAAAAATAAAAATAAATGAGAATGGTGTAAGTGATCTTGAGAGTTTTGTAGATTGTCTGAGTAAATTGTATGAGATTGTTACAAATTGTCTGAGAGTTTTGTGGATTATCAGAGTTGCAAATAATATGAGAGTGTTACAGATTGTCTGAAAGTATTTTATAATGAATGTGAGTGTTGTAGGTCGGCTGAGATTATTATAGATTGTCTGGGAGTGTTGTAGATTGTATCATGTTTGACCTTCCGGTTCAAATGGACTAAAAATATGTTGTGACAAGATAGATTGCAAAAATATATAAGAAGTTTGTGATCCAACGAGATGCTGCTGAACTCTATTAAAAATTACACTTGCACTTTATTTATATTTTTGAAGGACCAGATATATTTAAATAATGGCTATCTCAGACCGATTAAAAGATGATAAGTAGTTTAAATTGTTGTATATTAAAATGAAATAATATGATATTAAGATTTATAGATGATATGTTACTTAGTTGAAGTTTGAATTAATACTGATGTTTGTTAGATGATATTTTAGATATTACTTCTTTGAGTGTTGACTTAAGACTGATGTTAGTTAGATGAAATTTTTGATATTACTAAATTATAATGATTTTACTATTTTATATAATTTTTCTGATTGGTTTGTTTTTGTGGGTTCAAGCGGCATCTCATTATATTTTTTACCAATCAGGTATTAACCGGTGATGCCATGGTACGTGGAATTCAACGATTAGAGATTCTTAGAAAAATGGATTAATGGTATGATGATATATTTAGGGACTGGATGCATGACAATGGGAATGATTATTTAATATTTCAAAATTCTATAATAAGGGAAGAGGGTGTATTATTGCTATCCTGTATGAAGGTAATAAAATATAATAATATTTCATTAGACCAGGGTTGAGTAAGGCGTTAACAGTATGAGAGCTTTTCAATTTGTATGAGAATGTTGTAATTTGTATGACAGTGTTGTAATTTATATGAGAGTGTTTTAATTTGTCTGAGAGTGTTGTAATTTGTCTGAGATTGTTGTAATTTATTTGTATGAGTTCTAATTGTAGGTTGTAAGTTGTCCAGGAGTGTTGTAATTTATCTGGGAGTGCGGTAGATCATTTGAGAGTGTTGTAATTTGTCCGGGAGTTTTGTAATTTGCCTGGAAGCATTGTAATTCATATGAATGCATTGTAATTTATCTGAGAGTGTTGTAATTTGTTTGAATGCATTGTAATTTGTTTGAGTGTGTTGTAATTTGTCTGAGTGTGTTGTAATTTGTCTGAGTGTGTTGTAATTTGTCTGAATGTGTTGTAATTTGTCTGAATGTGTTATAATTTATTTGTGTGAGTTTTAATTGTAGGTTGTAAGTTGTCCAGGAGTGTTGTAATTCATCTGGGAGTGTGGTAGATCATCTGGGAGTGTTGTAATTTGTCCGGAAGTGTTGTAATTTGCCTGGAATGTTGTATTTTGTCTGTGTGAGTCCCAATTGTAGGTTGTAAGTTGTCCTGGAGTGTTGTAATTTATCTGGGAGTGTGGTAGATCATCTGGGAATGCTGTAATTTGTCTGAGTGTGTTGTAATTTGTCTGAGTCTGTTGTAGATTGTCTGTGAGTGTTGTAAGTTGCCTTAGAAAGCTTTAATTTGCCTGAGTGTGTCTTAGATTGACTGTGAGTGTTATAGATTGTCCGAGTGAGTTTTAATTTCACCTAGTCCTTTATAATTTGTATGAGTCTGTTGTAATTTGTCTGAGAGTGTCTGAAAATTTTGTAGTTTGTATGAAAATGTCTTAAATGAAGCTAATTGTCTATTTTTAACTTTATGTGTACATTCTATAATTTTTTATTTAATTAGGAATGTAAAAAACTTGGCAAACAGTCTTTCCATTATGCTTGGGTTATGGACGAGACTGCTGAAGAAAGGTCTCGTGGTGTAACAACAGATGTTGCTGTTGCTAGACTAAGGCCAGGTAGTAAATTATTCATAATTTATTCATTAGTGAATTGATTAATAATTTGAATTTTGATACTTTTTTATATAATTTTTATAAAATGAGTTTTGCAAATTTGGCACTTGAAAGATGTTTGCAATATTTTTTATAACTTTCAAGTAATTTGTCTAAAAATATAGAAATCTGTAGCAAATTTGTATAAAAATAAATAATCTAAATCATTGTCCAACATCAGAACACTCTGCAACATATTTTTCTATTTATGAATACCTAATGATCAAAAATTCTTATTCTTTACAGATGAATCCAGAAAAAAGGCAATAACCCTTTTGGATGCACCAGGACATCGTGATTTTATTCCAAGGATGATAGCTGGTGCAGCTCGAGCTGATGCAGCTGTTATGGTCCTGGATGCAGCCACTGGAGAATTTGAAGCTGGTTTTGAACAAGGAGGACAAACCAGAGAACACGGACTGCTAGTTAGGTAAGGATAATAATAAGAACAAGGAAATAAGACTTCTATAACCAAGTAATAAATATTTATTATTTCCACAGATCTTTAGGTGTGAGCCAAATGGCAGTAGTAGTCAATAAACTGGACATGGTTGATTGGTCAGAGGAACGATTTTTAGAAATCTCTAACAAAATGAGAACTTTTCTGAAACAGGCTGGTTACAGGGAAAGTGATGTCACTTTTATACCTTGTTCTGGATTGACTGGTGAGAATCTTATAGAACCACCAAAGAATGAGAAATTGCTCTCCTGGTATAAAGGACTTAGCTTGATTCAAGTTATAGGTCAGATAATTGAATAATGAAAATTTGTTCACAATTAAGTATATTATCATTAATGGTTTTTCTTTTCAGATTCTTTTAAAACGCCGCAACGTTCTATTGACAAAACCCTTCCGCATGTCTTGTCATGATGTCTATAGGGGCACTGGTTCCAGTGCTTTGTGTTTAGCAGGCAGAGTCGAATCAGGTTCTGTCAGTGTCGGAGATAAAATTGTGGTTTGTCCAAGTAAAGAACTTGCCACTGTTAAAAGCATTGCTCTGGATGATTGTGAACCGATTACCAATTCTTATGCAGGTATAGTAAATAATGGCATCATAATTCATTCTTACACACTTTACTTATTGAAATTTAAATTCTATTTTTTGTGTCCTGTTCCTGAGCATATAATTTCCTGCACTTTTTGTTCCTCATCAATCATCAGCACGCTTTTTATGATAGACATCTCTCTTTCAACATTGTTTGTTTATTGCATCTTATTACCTGATCAAGTTGATTGTGCATACAAATCAAGAAGTTCATGCAACTTGCCTTAAGGCAAAATGCCACTTGCAACTTGTTAACTTCCCGAAGGAGAAGTTTATGTTTTCATAAAAAAATCCGAATTGCTAATTTTATGTTTTCTCGACGTTTCAAGCCATTCTGAATCGAATGAGACCAAATTTGGAAAAAGTATGTGTGTATGTGTGTGTGTGCGTGTATGTGAACAGATTTTTTGCCGTAAATCGACGTTTTCTCGAAAACGGCTGGATCGGTTTTAAAAATTTAAAAGCCACTCGATGTATCTCGATGAGGACTATCGTTTGTCAGTTTTTGTGGGACGATCGGCCGAGACGTTTCTTTATAAATAGCAGAAAAGTAAAAAAAAATTCGTGCACGTTTTAGCCCGCAATTCTGAACCGATTATAAAAATTCAAAAACCGTTCGAAAGATATTGATTGGGAATCGTGCTGATTAGTTTTTGGTAAAGATCGGCCGGGCCGTTTTCTTGTAATAAAGTTTTTAAAAAAAAAAATTCGACGATTTTTATGATTATTTTTTTGACGATAGATACCATAGTCTTCTAGATCATACTAAAATATTACGGCCCTACGATAACTGGTTCAGCTTTAAAAATTCGTTAAAGTTTGCAAAAATTGGTATCGTTTTTTTGGCATTGGTCAAAATTAGACCTTTGATCGACGTTTTCTCAAAAACGCCTGAACCGATTTCAGATATTTAAAAAGCATTTGATGTATCTCGATGAGGATTATCGTTTTTCAGTTTTGTGTGACGATCGGCCGAGCCGTTTCTTTGTAATTTGGAAAAAAGTGTTAAACCTTTCGTCCACATTTAAGCTCATACTACTGAACTGATTTTAAAAAATCAAAAACTGTTTGAAAGATATTAGTTGGGAATGATACTGGTTAGTTTTAGGTGAAAATCTATCGAGCCGTTTTCTTGTAATTAACTGTTGAAAAAAAAAATATTAAGCCGATTTTTATGGAACTTTTTTTGGCGATATATATCATATATCTTATACCACTTACTGTAATATTACGGCCTTACGTAGTAGTAGTTTTTGACGTGAGTTAAAATTAAAATTAGACGATTTACTTGGTATAGCGATAGTGTACTTGGTCCTAATGAACATACTAAACAATTACAGTCCTACGGAAACTGGTTCAATTATAAAACTTATTGATTTTTGAAAATTTGCTTTTAGAAAATACTCCGAGTTGACGTGTTCGTTCGTTTTCAATTATGTGTAATAAATCCACTCGGAATACTTTTAATGATTCATAAATTAATTTATTTTTTATTGATTAAGCCGATTATTTAAACATATCGGGAAGTTCATGTAACTTGCCTCAAGGCTAAATACCAACCAACTAGTTAAAATTTAAATTTTATTTTTTGTGTCCTGTTCCTGAGCATATAATTTCCTGCATTTTTTATTCCTGATCAATCATCAGCACGCTTTTTAATGTAGACTATCAGAGAGTTGGGCAGGGTTGTGCTGAGAGTTGGGGGTGTTACTGTGGCAGCTGGGTTGGTTACGGAAATTTATTAGAGAGGGATTTAAAGATTTATATATATATATATATATATATATAAAACAAACGACTTAAAATATAGCTTTATAATTATGATTGATATATATTAAAATTGTACAATAATTTATATAATAAAAATTATATATATATTCGATATCTTCTCTGTGACTACACACAACTTTCTATCCAATTCCTTTATATTAACTATTTTCTTCACTTAATGATTAGTGATATCTTTCACATAAATTACACTTTATTTGTTCTATTTCTCTAAAGTGTCAGTTATTTAGTTTTATCATATTACAATACATTCAATAAGAATGAATTTTTTATTCGAGAATGTATTTTTTTCCTTCAATTCTTCTTTTCACTTCATTGAAGAATATATTTTCATCTTTCACTTAAATTACATTTTATCTTTCACATAAATTACATTGTGTCTGTTCTATTTTTCTAAAGTACCAGTTATTTAGTTTTATCGTATTAAAATGGTATTACACTACATTCCATAAGAATGAATTTTTCATTCAAGAATATATTTTTTTCCTTCAATTCTTTTAATTTCATTCAAGAATATATATTTTTTTCTTTCATTCTTCTTTTCATTACATTCAAGAACATTTTTGAAGTGAAACTTCTTTAATCTCAACTAGGGTGTAAATCCGTACAAATGCAACGGAAGTCCGTTACTCCCGAACTGTTTCTCATTTGCTCTCTATGAGATCATTTCTACACGGGTCGATTGTGATTAGTCGTAGTGTATTTGAATAGAGATCTGTCGTTGTATGCGTACCGGCATCAACGTTGTATGCGTACCGACATCAACGGTACAACAAGGAAATCGGCATAGATAAATGAACATTTTAGAGTTAAATAGCCTGAATCAGAAGAATATTTTACCCTGTTCCTTGAATATAATAAAACAAATTAAACATTTGTTCCGTGTACTAAACGTACGTTTATTGATCAGAAATTATTTCTTTATTATTCGTAGTTTCTATAAATCTTTGAAGTTATTGAAATGGAAATTATTTTTTAGGCAACACAGATATTACAGCTGTTCAAAGAATGAGATTATATCGCCAGCGAAAAAGTAAAAAAATACCATCTGTCAATGAATGTATGTTACATGAAGTTCTTCAAACACAATTACATGATGAGTGAAATTGTGAAAATAATATTTGTTTAGGCGTTATTTAACATAATCCAATGTGTGAACTGATATTATAGAATTTATTAATCAGCAATTACTTCATTTCTCTAATGAAGGTTCATTTCTAATTACAATGACAAACCGATCATGTCATATTTGAAGTATGACTTTAATTACATTATTGTTTTTAAATATTATACATATTTTAATGTCATTATAAATATATAATTTATAATTTATCATTATATAAATGTGTATAATGGTTGACACTGATAGATGTGTGCATCACGAGTGTTACCATATTACTAATAAGCATTTAGAATTGTTATATGATGTATTTATTTTTACTTAAATGCCATCTTGTACAGTAGCAAATAAGGCTTACTTCAATCCCGTATGAACCTTACGCGCACTCTTTTTTTTGTTTACTTGGATGAAACTTTGTACAGCGATAGATTTCATTGTCTGAAATAACATACTAAAATATTATAGGCCTACGATAAGTGGTTTGAATATAAAAAATCATCAAAGTTTATAGTTTCGAAGCAATTCTAATTAGAATTTCGTATCTATCTACTGATGATAGTTGACGTATGAACTTAAATAAAATCCATTTTTGGAATCCGAAATGGATGAAATGAAATGTGGAAAGCAATAGTGAAAGCAAAATTTTTATTTTCGAAATAAATGGTTGAACATTTTATCTAAATAGCTGAATCTCTCGTCTTAACGAGATTTTACAAATGTATGTGTATTATATTCGATTTATTTCATGAATGAATTCGCTTGCGTAAAAGCAGATAATGAAACTACGTCAAAGTTCCATTTTCGAATCGTAAATTATCCATCTAATTCGAATAAATCTAATTAATGTTTCTATTTCTAGAAATCGAATATCATTTTCTTCTCCTATTTATATTTGAACAACACTCAATCAAAAGACGTCAAATACTAGGCGATAGAAATCGATTCAATAATTTCGGCTACGAAAATAGAAAATGAAAATTATTTGCGAAAAAAAATGTTCTGAATAAATATTTAAACAGAATTGTATTAACCTTCTTGGCTTTAGTATTTGTTGTTGTAGTCGTTAGATTACAAATATATATATATTTTCAAGAGCAAGACAATTTATCCAGATTATTACATATCAAATTGAAACTGGAGTTCCACAAGAGAGCATGTTAGGGCCACTTTTATATCGTAGGTACATACATAATGTTCCAACTGATCGAAAAATATTTATTTTTATCAAAAGTGTGTATTACAAGTTTGTAGGAAATTTAATAAACTATAATTTAGTTTAAACTTAACACATTATTTATCAATACTAAATAGTTTACTTGTAAATTTAAATTGTTTAAAACGGAACGCTAAACTCAAACGTGAAATTATTATTAAACATTTGCCAAAATTATCTCTGTAACTTGAAATAATTTACAAAAACTGTATTAGAGGATTTTGTAAAAAATTTAATAAGCTATAATTTAGTTTAATATATTATTATTCTATTTTTAAATTATAGTACACAGCAAAATGCCGAACTCTCAATTACTTAAACGTGGAATTATTATTAAAATTTTGCCAAAATTATATCTCCAAAAATTGAAACAATTTGCAAAAACTGTATTAGAAGATTTTGTAGAAAATTTAATTAGCTATAAATTAATATAATATTATTAAATAACAAAAAAACGTGCAAAATTCTCCATCACATTTACTAAATGTGGAAATAATATTAAGATTTTCCCAAATTTATTTCAAATTTTTGGAACAATTTGTCAAAATTTTGAATAGCAATTTGGTAGGAAGTTTAATAAGCTACAACTTATTCTAATAAAACATTTTGCTATAAATAATATTTTAGCAGTAATATCAAATTATTTAAAAGAAGTGCACCATAAAACACTGTGCTGTTTGTATAAATCTCTGCACATGAAATTTATATATTTATATATATATATATATATATATATATTTGTATTAAATTATGCATCAACAATATATTACAGAATGCTAAAAATAGCGAAAAATTTTAAGTTGATATTGCTAAAATTTTATTTTTAACTTTTAAAGATAATGCTGAACTTTACAAGTGCATATTTTGA